CAAGCAGTTCACAGCCTGACCCCACAGCATTTTCCCCAGGGCTGTATGATCAGTAAGGCTTCACAGCATTACAAAGGCACAGAGAGTAAGGAAGCAACACCAAAGAGCTAAGGAAATACAAGGCTTTGCATGCTATTCATTCATTCTTCATTTTCTATTTATCTTCCATGTAGTTGCTCCTCAAGAGCCAATCTGCCTGATGATTGCTTTCAGTGAGTTTAAATTTACCACAGCTTTAAGTATAGAAACAACAGAAAAAAAATATCTGATAAACTACCAAGGAGAGAAAAACCACATAATTTAACAGAACAATCTCTGAGACCAGACATACATCTCTTCAATGGACTGTACTTCCCTGCTAGTCTTTAGATTTCTTTTGCACCAGTGGACAATGGTATCTTTACATGCTTCATTTCAAAGGTTCATTGAAAAATGCCACTAAAATTCCAGCTGATCTCAGCACCATTCCAAAGACAAACAAATTCCACGTTGCAAAACCTAGCTGGAGTTTGGATGCAGTTTTTTAAATGAGAAATTAAAACTCCAGACACAGACCATGTTTTAAATCATTTATTTCAGTAGGAAAGATTTTTGAAACCTGTTCTTAAATTCAATTAAACTAGCTTATGCAAACACACAATTTTCACACACACACACAGAACAAAGTATTAAAAAAGGTGAAGGAAGAGGCTCGAGGACAGCCAAACTGCACATCACTCAGAGAGATCATAGTGCAATCCCTCCATCCCTGGAATGCCTCACACCAGCAGGGAACATTAAAAATGGCTTGTGTTTACTGCATGACACCTTGATCCCCCTTCCAGTGATGGTTGGTCCTTACAGGATTACTATAAAACACATCTATGTTTCCTGGTGCTTTTCCCACTCCAGTTCAGTAGTTTTTGAATGGATACACTCCTGCACACAAGGAGCCAGAAGTGCCAGTAAACCAGGCACCCCAGAATCCTTTATTTCAACGTTGAATTGATTTATACTGCTTGTCTGCTTTGCAGTTTCAGCTGTGAACAGCTTTGGAATGGTAAGAAATTACTTCAGCAAACACACATGAAGGCCAGAACCCACCCAAATCAAGAGAAATAATAAAAATCAAACATACAAAGGAAACAGAGTATTTATGGTGGTTTTAGTCACTCAAGAGCAAGACCAGGCCTCCAGCCAGAACTGTGCCATGATCTGCAGGAACTTGCATTTCATTACATTTTATACACCTTCTTTTCCTTAGCAACTCAGTAACTTGGAGAAAACTTGTCAGCTCAGCTCTGCAACAGCCAGAGCTACACCAAGTAATTTGTATTTTCTCTTCTGACCTTTCTGCTCTCTTTGAGTATTCTTAGAAAGAGTAAGATTAATTTTCAAATTAGCCTTCCAACATCTGAATTTATAAAAAAGACTACAGTAAAACTGCTGTGTTTTTATAAGGATGTATACCAGGAAAACAAATATTTACTTGCTTAAGAACAACACATTCTTTCTTTCATTTCCCCTTCCAAAGCTCCTAAAGCCTTTGCTGCTAAAACAGTCTCTAGCAGTTGTTTCAGTGAAGGACAGTGCTCCCTACACAGTGTTGGCACTAGAAATACAACACACAAAACTGAGCTTTTGGGATATTAACACTAAGATTTAGCCAAGCCTCCTCTTTCTCCAAACAGTTTTTTCCTGTGGTGTTTATAAGAAAAAGCTTGCAAGAGAAATTGTCACCTAAGAATGCTCCTCAGTGTTTACAACAAAGTGGGACAGACAAAAGCAAGCTCCTTTCTAATAATGTGAGCTCCTGAGCTCATGTGGTCTAGACCATGACTTTGACTATGCTCTTCATTTCTCCCCCTCACTAAATCTACTCAAGAGACATACTAAAATAAAAATAAGTTAATTTTTAAGAGGTCTGAGCTACTTCTGATAAAAACTGAAAAAGCCCAAACTACCAAGCTCTGTATTTTTTCCTAAAAAGAGGCTATTCAAATACAGAAATAATAATAAAGCAACTCAAGCCACAGCTATTTTACACTGACCAAAACAAGTGACTGCTGCAGAAATGCAGTGGCTGTCAGGAATGTCACCCTTTGGAACATGGAGGACACAGCCTGCAAGTCTGCCATGGTGGGACTCACCACTGAAATAAAGGAATTGGTCTTCAGGTTCATAATAAGGCACTGACAGAAGTCCTGCTCCAGTCCAAGCACTCACCCTCTTCATGCATTACAAATCAGAGTGGTGGTTTTTAAAAGAAGGGATAACCCCTAGCAAAGAATTCCATGTCCACTCGTACAGATCCTTTTGATGGCAACTTTCCCAAGCCAAACCACCTTATGAACAAGCTGCTTTTAGAGAAAAATTAAAGCAAAAGGCTAATATTACAGAATAATAACAAAACTTTCACAGCTGTTTCCTTGTAGGATGAACAGACAATTCACTGATGTGCTTTAGTACCAGTCTTGGGGTTTTGATGCTGCAGCAGGCAGCACTAAGAGCTGGCCATGAATAAGGCTGGAACTACAAGTTTTGGTGAGTTAGGATACCAAGAAATTGTAAAGGACAAGTAATGAAGAAAAAGGCCACTGACAGAGCCAGAAGAAAAAGCATCCCATGTTTTTTACCTTCATTTGGACAAGATTTGTTAATCAAAACCATAAGATCAACTTGCCTTTTGTCAAAAGAGACCTCTGCTTCTCATGTGCCCCAGCAGCACAAAAACCTGCAACTGCTTCTGCTGGGAGAGAGAGATTTGCTGTCACCACGTGTTATGTCTGATACCAATAGAGGAGGACTGGTGTTGAAAATACAGAAATGCAAATACAGGAGGCTGATGTTGCAAGAAACATTAAATTTGATTAATTTATTCCTAGTGAGGAGTAGATAACTAACAAAACCCTGCTATGTTTTTTATGGTTCCTTTTGTTTCCAATATGTTTTCCAATGTGCCTGCTTCTCTAAACATGATTTTAAAGCAGGGTGCTAAAGCTCATTCATTAAGTATTTAGGTGACTCATTTAGTATTTGTAGTTTTAATGCCTATAATGTGCACCTAAATACTTAATGAATCATAACAGCTTGAGTAATACTCCTCTGGCATAAAACAGACATCTAAAAATGAAAAAGTGTCTGAGCTATGTTTATTCAAATTACCAAAATGTTTTAACAATAGAAGTTATAAAAACTATTTGCTTTAAAGGGCACTGGAATAGAAATTAGGTTTGAAAACCTAGCCAAAAGTAGCAGAGATTAATTAGATAAAAGTTAACACTAAGCAGTGCAGTGTTATATATTTTTAATGCAATGCACCAATTTCATAAACCAGATATTCCCTGTTGCTTAATCTTTCCCAAAACTTTTAGTTCAGCTAAAAGGCTGGTTATCAGTCAGCAGATAATTAATATTCATATTTGAAGTCTTGCTAGAAGAACTACTCTAAAAAAATTTTTGCTCAAATGCAGCCAAAACAAGGAATTGCAAGGGGCATCTTTAGCTTCAAAATCAAAACATTAAGGGATAAAGTGACAAATATTAGCTGAAGTGATTCAGCACTTATTAACAAGATAAACAATTAGAGCAAGACATTAAAAAAGAAAATCAAAGAGAAACTGCCAACTGTCTGAAGCAGTCTGGATGGCAGCCTTACCTGAATACCATGAGCTCGCTGCTCTCCTTGTTTCCTCAGCAATACTTTCAGTTATTTAACTTTTTTAACTCCTTTTTTTTTTTAAAAAAAAAGAGCATTAATACATTCTTTACAGTGTGTCATTTAACTTGTCTGAGTCTTTCCACAGCTTAGCTGAGGCAGCTTTCCCTGGGGGAACAAACCCAGCAGCTCTTTCTGAGCACCATTTTTCTCAGGCTCTAGAAATGTCAGTGTTTGTGTTGCCCTCCAGGACTACGTGGCCATAAACAAAGGGAAAGTACTGAACTGCTCAGTGTGACAAGTGCCAAAAATACTTCCTGTGTTGTCATTACTCACTCCAGTTATTCTGGCTACACATTTAAAGAAACTCCTCCCACAATATTCAATCTCTCCCACAAAAACCCAGCAGATGTGAGGGCAGAAAACAAGGAAGAGTAGGAGGTGCAAGGACAATGAAAGCTGGTAACAGCAATTCATTAAAGGATGATTTGTGAATTCTTTTCTCCACCATCCTCCTACCATAAAAACCTAACTCAAAACAGCTGAAAAAATGCAAAAATCCAGTAATAAATGACATGTCCTGACCTGGCTCTGTCCTTAGCAAAGCTGAGGGCTGTCAGGCTGTGGCTCCCAGTTGCATGTTTCCTTTCACTAACAAAAGAACAGACACAGTTATGCTGCAATGAACCTAGAATAGCTTATTTAAAAATTCAAAATCCACAGGCTATTATCCACAATGCTTAAAAAAAAGAACACAAATTGTTAAAAAAAACCCAAACAAACACTTAGTCATTGAAGAAACACACATTAGGTAAGTTTAGAACAGAAAAAAAACCAAACTCAAGTTGTGCAAAGTCTACTAAAGTAACACTGCTGGCTGTCAGGATGTTGTCTTTACTATAGACCCAAAGTGGGTAAACCTGGCAGATGTGTGAATTGCAGAGGGATTCAGCACAAGAAACCCCTTCCCAAAATTCTTGACTTCAGAACAGACTATTCAGTCCCCATATACAAAACAGCAACAAAAGATCAGCAAGGGGAGCCAAATTCTGAAAGTCCTCGTGGTGTAATTCCAACAGAAGCATCCTTCTACTGTTTTTCCTTCTAACAAGAGCCAATTCAGAACAATTCTTGGAAACATAAACCACCCTATTACCCTTTACATCACCAAGTGCTTGGGGTTTTTGTGTTTTGTTTTGTTTACTGTGAGACTGGATTATCCTTATTTTTGCTGGCCAGAAATCAAAAATTAATCATTTCCATTACACGATTAACTTGACTCTGGAAAAAAAACCCTCAAATGTGAATTGACAGGCTTCTACTCAGATGCAATAAACAAACTATACATTTTCAAAATAACAACTACTAGTAGAAACCTTTATTAGATAGTCAGAGAACTCTGAAACAGACTGGTAGGTAGCTTGTTTCTGTTTAAAAAGGAGAATTCATGGCGGAATCTGCAAGCATATTTACGGTCACTAAACCACAATGTCAATGGAACAGTTACTACTTTTTCACAGACTTCAAAGTTCCAATATCAGAGTCATAGTTTGGACAATGTTTCCTTGCTTTACAAAGATCATATTTTTGAAGATTAAAGAAAGACCAATCATTCAGGAAACTAGGTGACGTCAAGGAAACCCCAATAAAGCAAGAATCAAAGTCTTAAGCATCAAACACACACAAAAAGCACAGCTCCCTTTTTACAACCATTATGTTTTTCTCTGTGAGTAATTTCAGTGACCAAGAATGATTCCTGTCAAGGATGGAATTTTGATGGCCCCACACCTTTTCTCTCCTTAGGTTATCCTACCTTCTAATAAATTAGTTAATTGCCTGAAGATCAAAAGAGCTTCTGTATGTAAGGTCTTCTTTAGGCCATGTTATCAACACCACACAACGTCAACTACTTCGACTGAGACAGATACTAAAATCAATTATTGCCAAATGAGAACATGAAAGCTTGAAATTGTGCCTCTATCTTTTTAAAATGTCCATCTGAAGTGATATTATGAAACACCACACACTAATCAGTGGTCCCTAACTGATAATTAGCAGATACCCAAAGTCAAACATCTCAGTGAGCTGTACCCAGGTGTTAGTGTTTTGTCATTCAGCCTTTCTGTGCAGGAGAGCCACAGGCATAGAAACACATGGGATGAAAACACTCAGTTCTGACCCAACAGTGCTTTCAGTTTTGTCTCATACACACACCCCCCCCGACTGCCCAAAACTCGTGGTTTTAACCAGGAATTAGGGCTAAACGTACCAAAGTGATTTTTGGCTCAGCCTCTGTGCCACTCTTGGAGTCTGGCTCCCATACAGGACCAAGGTTTGCAAGCTCAGTGCTGCTCTGAACTTGCACTTGTGTTACATTTCTTCCAAGTCTGAGAGAAATAACACTGCTCCAGGCCATGTGCCTGGGAGAAGCTTCCCTCCAGGACTCCTGGGATGGCCTAAACAACATCTCCAGAACATGTAGTACCTTTTACCTGGTTCATACACAGCTTTTGATACAACTCTTAAATACCAGTTTACCTGTTTTCTTAAGAATGCCTAAAAAGGTGAGTTATTTTCAAAATTAGTATAAAGTTAAAAGAAACTCAAAACTAGCTACAATCTATTTAACTCAAGCACAGCACCGCCAGAAGTTTCACACACACTATTTGGTGTTTCATGTTGTTTTTCCTTTCACTCTTTAAGGCAGTGGTTTCCACAGGTCAGTTCTCAGAACATAATGAAGCATGGTCCATGGCAATTCATGTTGCAACTCCATTTTTAATTTGGGGGACTCCACTCCCCAACCTTTAGTGGTTTTGTTCAGGGCTCCAGAGTTCAGAGATCGAGTTGACAGGTTCTGTTGTGGCACAGAATACAGCTGGCACATTTTTCATTAGGACCTTGTTCTCAATTATGAGATGGCTCAAATTGTCCTTTTTTATTGTTTTGAATTTGCCTATTATTCAAAGGTCATCAAGTTGGCAGGAACCTGAAAACAAAAATATAAATGATAGAAGAATTTACTTCAGGTAGTAGCTACTTGCATTCAACTGTTTCACAGACTAGACACCTTGCTGAAGTGCACTCACTCTGTCTTCAAAAAAAGGGAGATAGAATGCAACTATCATCCAGCAGGAAAAATATACTTAGAGCTGCAGAAACCCCAGGTATAATAAAAATATTAAACTGCTGTGAGGTTTATAATTTTCTTATAATTTTCTTTTATGGTTGTAGAACTTGCTAATTTTGATGACATTTAAGACTTAAGTTGTCATCAAAACAACCTTAACATGATAAATCTCAGCTCTGCTAGACAAGGAGAACCCTCTCACCTGAGTCCCAGATAGAAAATTCTTCACAGATCAGTGATTGATGTAGTCTTGTTCAGACTAATTTTAAAAACATGAGACATAAACACTTGTTTGGGTTTTCCCCATAGCAAACCCAAATGTCTGTTGCAGATATCACTCCCATTCATGAAGATTAAAGCTAATGTTTGCAATGTATTAGTTTATATCCCCATTTTCTCTCCATCAGGAATCTGTCTGACACCAACATCTCTCTTTTAGTCAGGTTATTAAAGAGCCACCACATTCCTGACAACTGTCAATAAACAGTCAGTTTGGTCAGATATGGATCAAGAATTTGCTGCTCTGCGTTTAGCATTTACCTGTAGATGCAAGAATGCTCAACTGGGCTAAAGCTGCACCATTAAAATCACAAATAGTATCTATTAAAATAGTCCTTACTATTATTCAGCTACTACTATTAAACAGCTAGGTGTTTATATTCCATTGAAAACACATATAAACACCCAGTTTTTCTAAGGCAGTTCCACTGTTAACAGTAATAAACAGTATTGCCAACCCTTACTGAACTAGAACTGTCTTTAGAGGACAGTTTCTCACCACTTACTTGCAAACTCTTTGCCACTATTTGCTACTATCCCCACTTTCTCCAGCCAGGAACACAATTTCTCTCTTTGGCACTGTCTCAAATACCTTCACAGGAACTTCTGCAACCCTCCTTGCTTCTTAAGACCTCTCTCAGAGGCAGAATTGAACATTAAAGCACAGAAGGATCAGGAAAAGCCTTTTTGTTTCCCCTTGAAATTCAGTAGGATTTCTGCTCTGGGACTCCATAAACAAATGTGCAAAGAGAAGGAAGAGTTCAGGGAGACAAAGAAACTGAAAAGGGATTTTGCTGATGAAAAAGGTCAGTAAGAATTTATATGAGAACTGCATTTAATAGGGGTTGGAGTCTTATCTTCCTTTTTGATTAATTAAAAATGCTACTTTTGCTTTCAAAGACAGGAAAATGTACCAAGGGCTAAACTACTTTCTGTGCATTTTAGGAATACAAAATACATACACAGCAGAAAATACGTATGCCCATGGCCTGAAAAAAGGCACTTCAGGAGAGTTATCTGGAATTGATACTGAATGCTGCAGTTTACAGCTTTTTATATAATTGTGCAATAACCTTTTTCAAATGGGCAAGACAAAAATACTGCACTCAGGTATTTTAGAGTATTCCTTGCATTTCCCCAATTGCTTTAAATTAGTCTCAAGGTAGCCCCAAAATTTTCTTCATTACTCCAGAAGCTCTGAGGCCTCTTTGCAAAGGGTCAAACAGAAAAGCCAAGGCAGATCCACCAGCAGGTGAAAGGGGTGGAGAGGCTCCTCAGGGAGCACACAGAGCCCTCAGTGACAGGAAGATCCATCAGCTCTGAGCTTCCTAAAACCTCATTCCTTTTTCCCTGCCTTGCTCTCACCTGTTGTCTGTTGCTTTGGCAGGCAGCACTCAGGTGTTTAAACCAGAGCATTGCATTCATTCTGTTTCCAGCTTGAAATTTATATGAATTTCCTAAGAAAGACAAAAAAAAACCTGATGAAGAAACATAAACAGTGCTCCTTTTTAAACACTTAAATTCTACCCATATTCAAGTACCTCTAAATTGAAATATTATGAGAAGATTTACTAATAGATGGTCCATATAACTTTACACCTTGTCTGGAATTGCTTGACCTATTGAAGAGAAGTTTCAGCTTGCCTCTTCCTTTCCAACATTCTAGATTTCAACTAATGCCTGTGTGAACTAGGAAAGAACAAAATATCCCTCAAAACACAAGTGGTTTTGTTCACTGCCATTACTGCAATTGGTTTACAATATCATGATTTTTTAACAAAGTGCAAGGTATCACTGAAATGCACCTTGGAAAGCTACATTTGAAAATATTTGCAAACCACTCCTAAATGTATTGATACATTTCAGACCAGTATTTTCAGTGGCTGGAGTTACACAGTGCTTGTTTGGGTTCAGGAAGGTCAAGTGTTACAAAAACATTTCAGATTGCTGTTGCAGAATTTAAGCTGACAAGCACTCACAATTTATACTTCATATCAGTGGTGCTAGGAGAGATGTTTGGAAATAAAACGTACTAAGACTTGAAGCAGACAAAGCAATAAATAACTTTAAGCTCCTTTATCAGAGCTTCCAATAATGTCCTTTCTGCACAATTTGAAGTGCTATGGAAAAGTAACATTTTCTTCAGAGTTTCAGCTGAAAGCAGGCACTGTGTTGGAGTAATGGACATCCACAGGCTTCTTCACATAACAGTCAAGATCTCTGAGGCTTTTCCTGGTAATAGCACCACATTTGAACACATGGTTTGGGTTTTGGTTTTCAGTTGGAGAGAAGGGACTGCTCAAGCAGCTAGTCTCAGCTGAATCTTTTTTTAAAATTGTTACTTAGATTTCACACATGTGAAAATGCCTCAAAGTGTTCTAAACATATTTTAAAAGAATACAGATGAATACTTCCAATTCAAGTCACATCTGGGGTTGCTAAGAGTTTGGAGAGTTCTTACAACTCAATGTAAAGATTCTCCGTGTGTTGTTGCTCCCATTGCATTCTAAAGGTGATATGCTGGAGAGCAGCTGAAACTGGAAGGATATCACCTTTCACCTGCTGGTTTAGTTGCTGACAAATGACCTCAGCAATGAAAATGTATATTCTGTGCACTGCTTACCCTTCTCAGAATCAGTCAATAAGAAGAGATCTGGATGCTCGGGGTCATCTGCCATCATCACCATCCAGCCCACCACTGAGACACTCTTACTGGGCGTGGATTTGAACTGGAAACACAAGCAGGGATGAAAATGGAATTAAAACAAGAGGCCAGATCTGCCCAGAACAAGTACCCAACAGCACAGTTCCTCCCAGTGGCACTGTTAAACATGGGGTAACTTCAAATGAAGCAGAGCACCTCACACAATTAAGAAAATTAACAAAGGTTGTATGAAATTAGTGCAAACAGAACTTAATATATTCAAAACAAATTAAAATGAATATCACAATCTGCAAAAGCCTGTTAGACATATAATATGCACTGCATGATCATAGCAGCATTCCTCACCACATTAGTTCACATTTGAATGTACAGTATAGTTCTAAAGTATATTAATAAATGCAAAACTATTCCCTCCACTGTTCACAAATAGAATTGAACTTGCCTGTGCTGTAACTATTCACAGTTAGCATGCAGTAATTATTATAACACTCTGTAATTACCCATAACATGAGTCCTGGGGACAAGATAACACAACTGTGTAATTAAATATGATGACCTGATGAATTAAATGAATCAAGTGAGGATGTAAATTCAATCAACAAGTGCCCAGAAATGGGCAGTCATGCTCATTTATCAACAAGATGTTCAAAATGATGGTGTTCTCCTGTTCCAGGTGGTATTCACAGATTGACAGGCTCTACTCACCAGTTCCAGGCTCTACTCACCTATTCAATCCAACTTATCTCCAAACCATAAGCTTCCTTTCTCCCTGACCTTGTTTTTACCTTTTAGTAGACCCACCCAATTCACTTCTCCTTGTTCTCTCGGGCAGTCCCATCCATGCCCCAGCTCCTAATTAATTCAGTTTCTCTCATGTCTTTGGCTGCCAGGTCTCCTCTTCCTATGTTCTTGGGTCCAACAGAGACTCTTCCATCAATCCCTGCACTCTCACCCTCTGCAGTGCTTTACCCAACTTCTCTGCCCACAAAGTCCAAGTCTGGTGTATGCTCATCCTCATCAGATGCATCTTCCTCCTATCCTGTGAATCCCCATTCCAACCTCTTTATTAACACATCAAATTTGATCTCTCTTTAAATGCATTATTAGAAACAATAAAACATCCTTGAGATTGTTTTGGCTTGAAGTCATTAAAATTAATCTGTAATTCTAAAATACTTTTATTCTTCATGCTAATGTGTCATGCCAACTCACCACATAATGCCACAAGGCAGATGCACAACATTAAGCAACAAGTTACTTTTGTTTATTTTAGAACTATTGCTTTAGTATTACAATCCTGGAACTCTGGTTCAGCCAGGAAAAAGCCACTGGTAATAAGTTTGAAGGTAACATGAGCAAAGTAAGAGTTTATAAGATGCTCTGTGCATGGGAATACAGTTGCTTTATAAACAAAGTCCCACAGCAAGTCTAGTGTCAGTTATTCTAATCTATGCCACAGATTAACTGAAGACCTGGAAGGTCACAGAATCACCACAAAATCACAGAATGTTTTGGGTTGGAAGGGACATTAAGGATTACCTCATTCAATCCCTCTGCCACAGACAGGGACACCTTCCTCTAGACCAGGTTGCTCCAAGCCCCATTGAGTCTGGCCTTGGGATGGGGCAGCCACAGCTGCTCTGGGTAACCTGTGCCAGGCCTTTACCACCCTCACAGGGAGGAATTTCTCTCTAATATCCCATTTAACCCTGTGAAGCCATTGTCTAGGTAAGTTTATCTGTCTGGGACTTGCACAGCTGGCTGCATTTTAAACCCTAGTTTACAATCCATTAGAACTTGGAATGAACAAGTGTTAGACCAGTAGTTGAAAAGAAAGTATTTAAACCAAGTTCAAAATAGTTTAAGAGTCCAGGCTCTTTGTATACACACACTAAAGTTAACTCTCAGAGGTGGATAGATGTGGTAAAGCCTCGGAAGAGGAGGAGGTAAATTATAAAGCTCTATCAGATAAGATGTCATTATAGTGAGGGCTGTAACTCCTTCTCAAACAGAAACTGAAATTTCTTTGAGGAGGCAGTAAAAGTAATGTCAGTCTGAAGTGAAAATTAAGGCATTTTATCTGAAAGAATGAAAGACAAGGAAAGGGAATAAAGTTAAGGAGACAGCTCATGAGTTCTTTAAAAAAAGGCAAGTTAATAATAAAGGATTTCTTATGGACTCACTGACAACACTGCAAAAGTATGATGACACAACTTAACAGGGACCTGCAAAATGCAAACTTCCAAGTAGCCCTAAAGCATTAATAGGTCTCTTTCACAGAGGTGGAAATTTGAGTCACAAAGCAGTTTTAATGGATTATAGATCAAAATGTACCTTTTGAACAACATTATTTCTAGACCTTCATAGAAACAACACAGTGGGCTTTGCTATCTTAGTTGCTTATCCCAACAGGTATCCAGTATGTGACACTGCCATGCAATCCAAACTGCTAGAGCTCCTTGCCTCTTCTTTTCACTCAAAACCATCAGTTAATCATGGTGCTCCTCCATAAAATGAAAAGCTCCACACAAGGAAAGTGTTTCCTGCCAGCATCAATCCATCACTGCTAGAAACACATGTCAGCCTTCCATCCCTGTGCTCAGCTGGATTTGTATTCCATGTTTACACAGTCCCCAGGGCAGCTCATTCTCTGCTGATGCACAGAGCCTTGCTAACAGCAAGTCTGCTTTGTTAACATGAAGGGAATGAAAGCTTCATTGTAATTTAATGTTCCTGGTTCCTATTTGCTTTTTGTAATATAGGCCACTGGAATGACTCTTATTATACACATGGAAAACTGCACAGCTCTGGCACTAGGCTTCACATAATTGATTTTTGCTGTTGTTGTTGTTGTTCTGAGCTCAAAGGCTTTTATAAGTAAATCTTTGAATCAAAAAATCTGAAATATGTGGACAGACTTTTCACTCCAACATTTTGGCAACCAACAAATCTCCTCCTCCACATCTCCTGTTGAGATTCTACAGATTTATAATATTCAAATAATTTTCTCGGTGGCTGAACATCCTTCCCAGGATGATAGCATTCTTCCTCAGGGTATTTCAGTGAAAGTGCCTGAGCCACAAGTACCAAGTTGGCTACCCTACAAGTAAATCAATCTAATTTTGATTATAGCATGCAATGGAAGGCTTACAACTAACCAGGGTTTGGGTTCAAGCATGAAGCACAAAAAGTCTCTGTTGCTTTCCGAGCACCTACAAACACAGAAAAATCTCTCATGCATGCTATGTTGTCACAGGAATTGGCAAGGCTCTCAGTCCAATCACTATTAACAGTTACTTTACAGGTGTATTCACATTTTTCAAAGTGCTTATTTTAAGTCTAAGTTCAAGTGGTTATTCTTACTGTTGCCCTTTTCTAAATGTGCACAAGTGCTACAGTTTTTCACAGAGGTTTCTCTGTGAGTTCCATTTCAGCATACAAGATAAAACCATTGTCCACACATTCCTCCCCGATTGTGCTGTACTACATTTCTGGGCTCTCAAGTTCACATGCTTATTTATAGACAATTCTCCATTACTGTAGTAATAACAGAAACCTGTTCACTACTTAAACTCAATGCTGATTTTACGCTGTTCCTCTAAGGAGATGCAGCACACGATACTGGATGCACTCCTTGGCCTTTGACCACAGGCAGGAGAAGAGCTGGCTTGTCTGTGTCTGAAAGGGAGGGGATTTCTTGCCCCTTTTGCTGAAATTACTCTGGGATTTTTATGAGGTAATTTTCCAAAGAGGCTGGCTATTATAAGCCTGGAAGAGCTTTGAGTGTCGATGCATTCCAAGCTGCCTGGAGCAATTGCAGCAGCAGAATGGTCAAAAGCATGCCTGTAATCAAGACACGTTTACCATGAGAGCTCCAGCCAGGAAACTTTATATAGCAGACTGAGTCTTTTGTTGCCAGCGTTCCTTTCCATGTCACAGAGGGCTTGAGAAAGGAAGCAGAAAAGACAGATGTTTAAATGGCTCCAGAAGATGCTTGGAATATTTTGCTGAGGTAAATCTCCAATGTATCAATCTTTGAAAAAGAGACCTGCTTCAAAGTAGATGGCATCATCCTTTTTATCTGGGAAATAAAAAAACCCAAAGCCTAAATCTAACCTTGGATCTCTTCATTTTGCAGAGCGAACCTCTTGGGAATATCACTGGACAGTATTTGGAGCATTTACTCATGCTCTAGCTATCTAGGGATGATTGACCATCTGCAGTTCATTCTCTCCTGATTAACTTTTCCTGAAAATGCAACCAAACGTGAACTGAAGCATGACCCTTGACAAGCCATCTCCACAGACTCCAGAACCAAAGATGAGGCTCTGCACAATAACTCTGTAGTGAAAGGGATGGAAACCTAACCCTTCAATAGCCAGGCTCGAAGTACAACACAGGCAGAGCAGCTGAACAAGTTACTGACCATCTATTATTAGCCTGTTTAATGAACTGGAATCCATCAACCAATCCCTCTATCTCAACAGCAGTTACCAGGTTTCCCACCCTAATTTCAACATAAAGGTCCTGCTGTGTTATAACAACCTCTGAAGCAGAGGTTTGCTGTGACTACTCGCTGCAAATTATTTGTTTAAATAAAAGACCAAACTGTAGAAAATAGTTATTACAATTGATAAACCTCAACTGCACCTGGGAAACCAAATCAGAGACTGAGCTCCACAACAGGCTTGCCATCCACAAACAGAGCAGAGCCTGTCTGCTGCCTAAAAAGCTGAAAGCAAGACATGAGCTGTGTACAGCCAAATCCAAGGCTGTGCTGGACAGTTCAGCCCAACTTCGTAGAGCCAACTATTAAAAAGAAATTAACGTTCTTCAGCAGTCATTGCTTTAACTACCACTCCTCTTCCTCCTTTTCCTGGCAATTGCTTTGCTCAAACTTCTCTCAGTATCTGCAAGCCAGGAGGCTGGTAGTCTCCTGATGGGAAATCCTGCAAGCATCCTGGACTCCAACACCTCCTCACCTCTCTCTGCAAACTTCCTCAGTGATTTGCTGGAACAAGAAATCACTTTTTTTTTCCCCTTGGACAAAGAAACACGAGCACACAAGCATGTGAGACAAATTTTGGCTTCTTAAGCCTCTGTTCACCAGCAGTTCAGATGTTGTAGGTGTCACAGCATATCAGTGACTTGGGGAATATCAGAAGTCAATTCAAGAGGTTTAGAAAATAATCTCTGAAAGAGCATTGTAAATGACTGTGACTGTATTTCCAGACAAAGTAAAGGCTTTTGCAGGAACAGAGACTCAGAAGGATCAGGTACCAGACTGTTTACCTTTTTCCTTCATTTACTTTTGCTAAAGAAAGGGCAAGACTATTTAAACTATTGAAATTGTTATTCTGAAGGAAACATGTAAACAATGCAAACTTAACATACTTAATTTCCAGTCAATATAATTCCTTGCTAAGCAATTTTTTTCAAATTCTCTAAACCTGCATGCTATTTAGATTGTTTAAAAATGCTAACACAGAACAGTGAAAAAGCTTCTGAATGAATAGATACAAGTCTGGTAAAGTCCTCCATAATTTTGTAAAGAACAGTGAACCAGGGAGACTCACAAATACACATTCTATTCCTAAAAGAAAACAAAGTGCAATTTTGGCACAAAGCCTGGAGGAATCACAGCAGTAACAGGAACACAAAGTCTGACATTACCACAAAAATTTCTTTTCCGTTTCTCAGTGTTTCCAGAAAAAATAGGCAACTAGCTGTGAGTGACATAATGCCAGCACAAGATCTTTCCTGGTTCCTTTTTTTTTTTTTTAATACTTTGCATTTCTAGTCATAATAGCTTACAAGTCTGCTCTTTCCTTCTAATGAGGTGGAATCCTTCCCTAAAGTTTTCACTGAAGCCAGAAACAAATGCATCCAAACACACACTTCTCCCAAGACACCCAGAAGACAGAAGGATTGGCTAATGAACCATTGGCTAGACAAATTAAGTAGGATCAGTTTCAATACTACCTAAACAAAGCTAGTAGGGGTGGATGGCCAAGAAACCACATAAATAGTTCTGAAAGTAATTAGTATTAGAATACTGTTTCCTAATGAACTTCCAATAAAAAGTGGGAAATAATATTTTAGATTAAGAGAACTTTATACACAAACTTTCCACACAGCAACTTCAAATATCCAGGAGTCTGCAAACCAGAAATGTTAAACTTCAAATCTCCACCCTTTGCACATAAAAATGTTAGGATAAGAAAACAGCATTTTGTACCAAAGTCCCCTTTACAAGGATTCCAAAAGCACCACTCAGCTTGCAAAATTCCATAAGCTCTATGCAAAGCAAGTGTTCTACATGAAAGTTGTCATAAATTAACCTGAAACACCTACCAAGACAACCAAGTAATGATTCTGAGTAATGAATGAACTCAGATTCAAGTATCTCAAATTTTACCTAGTTTCTTAAGAGAATCATTACAATTAACTAGGGACATCAAACAGGAACAATACACATCTTAACATTCATACAGAAAATCCTCTTGCTCCTTCCCCACATAAGCAAAACATTTTAGCTTCTTTCAGATCAAGTTGCAGCAAATAAAGGAACCCCAGCATCGTCTGACATCGCAGCTCTTGCTGAGCAGATGAAGTGTTTGGTACTCCTTTGCAGTTAATGGCATACAGGATTATACAGAAAAATCAAATGGTCTAATTTACCACATAGATTAGTACATGTTTAGTTGTTGTATCTTGTGACTGCTCAATTTTTCCTCATCAGTGCTGGTTTGGACTTCAAACGTGACAAACTGCTGCAAGACTGAAATCGTCCAAAGACAGAGCTTTGAAAATGGACAGACCAATGACACAGTTCCTTTCCTAAAAGACCAGCAAAGTCAGAGACACATGGCAGATGCAAAGCAGATGTTCTTGGTGTAGCAAACAAATGTAAATGATATTTCCCTGGAGTATATCCATATGAGGTGACTGACTGACTGGGAGACAGGATAGTGCTGACTAGAAATCAGGCAAGGCATGAACTACTCTCAGTGTTTACATCAGGAAATCACATTTTAGTTTTGGCAGGTGATACTGGAACATGCCTGGTTTACATACATGTTTTCTCTCTGTAGCCTTCAGGGATTTTGCAGCGTAGTAGAAGAGATGGGTTCCACACAGTGCTACCCAGTATTTCGTCCAAGATGCTACCTGGAGAGAAAACAAACAAACAAACAACCCCAAAAGTAAAATGGGTAAGTGAAATGCTTCATAACAATGAGCTGTGAAAGAGGAGGCATCATCCTGCAAGAACATGAGAGCACTGACTGTCCAGCCAAGCATCAGCCATGTTTCCAAAGCTGCTGTTTGTTACTCATGCAGGCCTATGAATGCATGAAAACTCCAGAAAGCAGAAAGAACATGTGCCTTTCCTCTCTAACCTGAGAAAAATGTTCTGCATCTTGCTCTGTACTTCCTGCAATCCCTACAGAGCACTTTGTGGAGTCAGAGTACATCTGTCCCTTTCCTTTTCCATCTTAGGTGCTGCCGTAAGGTATCCCACATCATCCTGAATATGTACTTTGATTTATAATTTATCATCAAGTATTTGCAATGCAAATGCTAAGGGTTATCATCTATTAATAGATTGCTGGTATTTACCAATTGTTAAGGAAGACAAAACATGATTCTCTCCATTTTAAAGTCATCAGTAATTGTAGAAAATTTTATGCAGCATCCTCTTCTCTTCTGCTTCCGGGATTATGTGTAGAGCATTACAAACTGAATAAATGCACCAAACAGAAGAATCAAAACTCTGGCAATGACCCTAAATCTTAATCAGCAAGGCAGAGGAGATCTCAGACACTTGAACTAGTTGCCCAATGGGCATTCTACTGTGTTTATAACTGGGCAAAGGAAGAAAGTGAGAAAATTAATTTATTAAAAAAAAATCTTACTGTAGGTTTTTTGCCTTCTTTCAACAAAGTCTTCCTCCTGAGAACACCTTGAATAGTAACTGCTCCTGGATACAAATGAACAGCCAAATCTTCAGATTCTAGGGAGCTGAAAGGAGCATGTGAAGAGTTGTGTGAAAAAGTATTTTTCCTAAAGTAATTTTCTAACCATTACCAAAAACTAATGCAAATACCTTTATTGTAATTTGAAAATGTCAACTTTCTATTTATTTGACTTCATTGTGGAAAAAGACTTTGGCTGTTACAAGGAATTGCTGTTGTGGAATTAACACTCGCAAGCAAAAGTGATCAGAAAAATTAATTAGCCAAGCAGGTAATCCTGAATTAAAAAATTAAAACTCAAAACAGGACTGAAAGACAAGAAAAATTAATTTAAATAAAGTAAATGTTTGAAGTACGTTGGTACAGTTGCTGTACATGTTAAACCTCTCCTTCAGCCCTTGCAGCAAAGATTTGACTATTTTTTGGTTAGAAACACCAGAACCATTAGCACATCAAAAACAAAGCACAGCTCAAACATGCACAATCCTTAAAATATCTGAAAGCAAGGAGAGTGGGAGGGAGCAGGAATAAAGAGTAGAAACCCAAACCACAGCTGTAAGGTGTTTTAATGCAACTGGTGCTCTACTGATCATCTGCCCTAGGAAGGACTGGGGAGCAATGGGCTGAAACAAAGGCCAGGTACAGCACTGAGGAAAGAAAATTGAGCTTGATTAAAATTACAAAGCTGACTGGCTTCAAAAACATTTCCAATCAGAGGAAAGTTACACCAGGAATCATTTCAGTGAACGTCAATCAGAGCGTGTAACTAAAGTGCTGAACCCAGCAGCTTTCTAGAAAGGCCCAGAGATTGAACAGCGCCCGAAAATCATTGTGAAGGAAGCCAGGATTTGTTGTTTCATCCATCCTATGTCCAAAGTAAACTGGAAATGTGACACACACTTTCACTGCAGCACCTACTGAGGATGATGATATGGAGACAATTTTGGACACTGACAGATGTGAAGATGGGTTTAATTCAGTGAGACAATGCTTGCTTCTTAACATGACAGAGGTTTCACAGTCAATGGCAATTTCCCAACTACAGTGACACAGCTGGAGACAGAATGTGTATCCATAAGGAGTCACAATAATCAGTTATGTTACTCTGTCAGCTTGCAAATACTATGTATATTAAATTGGGGGCGATTTGAATGTCTTACTCATTTTAGGCACTCTCTGATTTCATGGAAGAGGAGCAAAGAAATTCAGTACAGAACAGCCAGCAAAGAAAACATCTGGAATGCCATCCATTAGCACCAGGAGCAGCTTTGTTTCCCCATGAGAACTACCAGCACTGCTCCACAGTGGCAGGCAGTTCAAAAGCCACCATGGCAAAACATCTTTAGCCTTGATAGAAAGATCCAATGGTTCAGAATTTGGATTTGCAGACTGGAATGACCAGTCCTTATGCTGATATGGAATAAGTCATTGAAGGGAAAAGTTTTAAGTCTGAAGAAAAAGGTCTCTACCTTTAGTTTGACACATAAGTTAGAAAGGGAACATCAGAAAACACCCACTTAATTATTAAACCAAACCAAATCACCAACAGCAGAGGGAAGGTTTGACACCTCTGTGTGCAGTGGGATTGTACCTGCTGGCCTTCATGTGGCCTCGATGGCCATTTCGTGACACTCTTGTCCCCGGACCGAGAGAATGGTACAACCTGTTCCTGTTGGATTCCATTATAAATTGTATGTATTACATATACTTTCATTCACACAAACAGCACCACTGCTACAACAGCACAGAACTTTTCTTGTGTGCACATCACAAAGCCACTTCTTCCACGTAAGAAAAAGTGAATAATTTTATTTAGAAAAAGGCATGCAGAAGTAAATAATATGGGTTTTCATTTAATCAGATGTTCTCTTTGTCAGAACTCACAATACTAAGTGTTTTACTGGCACTGAAGATGAACACATTTTTAGAGCAAAGTCTGCATTTACCTTAGACCAAACAAATGTAAAGGAACCATACTGATAAAACTTATCTTGAAATCTACTTTAGATGTTACTACAAAAATGGTTTCAAAGTTCTACAAGTATGAAAACACAGAAGCTGTTGGGCTGCAAGGAACCACAAGCTCTGTCAAATTACACCTGACGCTGGATAAAATCCTGTTGTGCTCAGTAACGTGGAAATCAGCTCAGCAATGTTTCAATTTTCCAGTTTATCTGTGGTGTACACTTTACCTGTAAGCCCCACATTTTAAATTCATTTACCTGATCCATACTTTTACCCCTATTCAGGAACTATGCCCCAGACCTGCCTTTTGAACACTGCTTTGCTTCACTGAACTTTGTTTTTCTGAATCAAAACCTCTTACTTGATTGAATTCCATTGAAGTCAACATAAGCATTGCTGAGGCACTTTGTCCTCACATCCTATTTTTTAATCCATTTTTCTAGCTGCTTGTATTCTGTTGAAAGACTAAAGATCAGCAATTCTGTGGGAGCAGGCAGTTAAGTACAAGCCTTATTATCAAAAAGATATTAATGAATCACCATCTACTAACCTGTTCCACAATTTGCCATCATTTGTTTCTCAACGTAACAGATATCTTTGAACTTATGAATTATTTTTCAGAACACACTCAAGATATAGGTAAATAAAACAATAAAGAAAAATAAAGTAAAATTGGCTGCTTATTTTTGTATACTTATGGCATGCAAATTAAGTATGTTTTCTTCTTACCTTTAAGCTTGTTTTTTTATTGCATAACAAGGAGGCTACCACTCTTGGAATCCTGCTATTTCAGGGAAATCTACTCAGAGACACTCAGGATGACAACCAGTGAGACTGAAGTGTCACTTAATACACTGCCCTTAACAGGATATAACTGTAAGGACTTGAAATTTTAGTCCTTCCAGTAATTTTGATTGCCCTGAAGGGACACTCCAACGCTGAAAACTCTTTCTCAAGTTTCAAACTTAAGATTCTGTTGCACTTAAAAAAAACCAGTGGCTCTAGCTCTCACCCCTTCAGCATTCCCCAGCTACAGGCAGAAAGGCCAGGAAAAACAAGAATACATTTTACATTTCCTTCTGTTACTTGGGGAATCTGTGTTTGGAGAAATTGTTTTCTTCCTCTTAAGGGATATGATGCAGATTTAAGCCTTCTTACCCTTTCTGTGTGTAAAACACACAGAAATACTGAATTCCTACTTGCACTGCACAGAAAACAATAATTAACACTGGATGTATCCCAGTTTTGCCAGAGTTGTTAATTCTAGGCAACTAATGCCTTTCTTTCACTTAAACATCTTTATAAAGAATTGAAACCCCTGTGCTTCACTGTACGGACCAAAACCAGAGAGAGACAATCTCAAGTTATCTTAAATTTTGACACTTGCATGCCAGTGCATTACATATGAAATTTTAAAACATGCTTCATCATCGTATAAAGCAAGGAACAGACTCAAGGTTGCTGCAGATCCCTAGGAATTTCACACGTGGTGTTGGGAATGTCTGTAAGGAACCCTATCCCTCTCCCTGGAAGCAGGCAAGAGAACTCACCCTGAAACACAAGAAACCTCCAACAGGGTTCCCAAAAGCTCTCTCAGGAGAGGCAAGTACAGAAGGCAAGTGGAATTTGGAGGAGGAATCTTCTGTTTGACATGGAGCAAACACTTGAACTGGGGGAGCCTGGGGCTGCCAGTTCTCATTAGCACAGACATGAAAAGCCTCTGCTTTGCCTCCACACAACAATTCTGAAGAATGTATCATAAGTTTAAACCTAAATTTTAATGTTTCTTATGCTGCTCTGGGTAACAACACCCAACTCACCATTTTTTTCTAACTTAATGACTTTTTGTCTCTGAGAAACAACTTGATACCAATACCCAATTCCATAAGGCAGCAGGGAAAGGAAAGAAAGAAAACCTTTTGAATGTTGTATGTGCTTTGTGATGCAGCCTGCAAGTTAAGAGATTGCCTTTCTGAGCCCATTTGTGTTCTCTGCTCATGTGGAATGTTACCTGATTAAATTGTTAAGGGCTTTTCCACATGTATGCATTCATATTTAAGGTATGAGGCATCCAGGAGTTCACCTTTGGCACAGAGAGATTTTCAAAGACTTCTTCCAAAATTTAACACAGAACTTTAACTGCTTCAATGAGTTAAATCAGAATATGTTTGTGGTAACAGCTTCCAACTAAAAAGGCAAAGTTTTTTGACAAAAATTCCTATGAACAATGTAAAAGCATGGTAGAAAAAGTCATCCATGGCAACTCTGAAGCTGATGGATCACCTGAAACTGTGTTATAGAAGCAAGCAATGCGCTGTATTGTGCATCTTACTCAGCTGTGGGAAGGTGAATATTGCACCTTTTCCTGTGTTCAACTACAGCTGTTTGTCTTTTTCCACGTTCTCAAATACAACATGAGAATGGGCTGAAGTGGACAATGCCACCTGAGCACTCACAGGTGCTGGAAAAGGAACAACTTGTTAATTCTGGACCACAAAGTCAGACATTAGCAAAGGGAATTGTTGTGTAACAGTGAAGAGAAAAGAGGATGAGAGACACAAAAGAGCTGACAATGTCAATGACAAGAGAGTAAAGGGACTATGAACAGATGAAGTGTCTCAGGGAAAGTGAAAATGAAAATCAGACAAACACAAACAGCACATGTGATATCCACATATATAAAACCTTTGGGGTCTAATGGTTCTCTGAGCTCCTTCAAGGATGTGTCCACTGAGTAAGCACCCAATTAGATAAAAGCCCTATTAACCATTAGTGAGCAGAAGGTGTTTCTATGCTGCTTTAACAGATCCAGTGAACTTACTACAGCTTTTTAGTGCTCTTACAGGCAGAAGATCTCTAGTTCAGTGAAAAAAAGAGTCATTTTCAGGACCAAGTGAGAGACTCTAAGTAACAATGTACATAGAGAAGCACAGGTTTTTCTTACCTTTCAAATGCTGGCCAGGAAGTCTCTTCACTGAGTTCAGACCCATCACTGCTACCTAGAGAAATACAACAACATATATACATTAGTTCTTCTTCATCTACAAACCATCTCTGTCAATTGTATCTAAACAAATCAGAATATTTCAGATTCTGAACATCAGAATATTTAAGATGAAATGCAAAAAAGTACTTCAGTAAAATACTACAAGGGAAACACTTTGTGATTTGTTTCAGCAATTTCACATAAACTGAGATGGAGATTGAAGGGACAGGGACTTGTTCCACATAAAGAAGTTGAAGAAAAGGAACACTAATAAATGGGAACCTTATTTTCAAAATATAAAGAACACCCTAAACACAGATTTGTCTGCATATAGAAAAACAGGTCACTTATTTAAATAATTTCTTTTCAAGTCACAACAGTCATAAATGACACAGAGGTGCAAATTCATTGCTGAATCTCCAGTACATGATTTGAGAAGCCTTAAACAATTTTAAAGCTATCTCGCACTTACTCTATCAGCTCACAACAGTATTATTTCCTTCTGTGCTTTGTAAATTAATCCACACTTTATTTTAAACACTGAAAATAGAGGAAGATCCCAAAACTCAAAAGTCTGATGGATCCACTTGTGGCAGTCCCACAAATAAGACAATAACTTTACAATTCCACTAAATCCCATCAGCCTGAAAATGAGCATTTAAATACAGATACAAGGTGGGTGTTAGCTCTAATGTTAAAAATCAGCAAATAATTATCAGTAGGGATGCTGTTAACAGGAATCAGTAGCTTCTACACATAATTCCAAGCTGTTGCCTTGCTGCTCTGCACCTTTCAGGACACCCCAGCTGCGCACAGGAGCTATTATCCTTGTTCACCACTTCAAACCAACATTTCTGGCTCCAGATAATCCCAAAGCCTAAATACCAGTGCAATTCAATGTCAGTCAATGCTTGAAGCCACCTTTCAGCACACTAACTTGTCACCTTGCTTGCTCTGCTGCCTGAACACCCATATATAAGGAAGCAATAAAATAATACAATTGTTTTGAAACAAACAAGAAAACAAACAAACAAAAAATCTGAATCAATGCTCCTTACTCAAGAGTTCCCTCAGAGAAACACAGGCTGAAAATGGGAACCAGTTCCCTGTAATTTTAAACAGAAAATCAGCAGGGAAAAGCAGTGCCTTGAAAAATCATGTGTACAAAGTAGGTCTGGATATTCACTGAGTAAACAAGGAGTAAAGATGGAGGCAATAAAGATTTACACACAGCGGGTGTAATTCCAGCCAAGAGCCATGAAAATCTCAGCATGGGCTGAAGTTTCCTCTGTGCAAAATTTAAGAAAAAATACAAGCCTTTATCTGCCAGCCAATTCAACTGAGATGCCTCTTCTGCAAACATTAGCTCAACATCCACGTATTAACACCATCTCTGTGGGATACTAGATCATTTGGTCTCAGCTTATTCTGAATTCTTCCTAAAGGAAAGTCCTAACCTGGTTCACACCAACACTACAGTAAGAGCCATTTGTATAGTGGAAGGAGCTATGAAATACAGAAGTGATGTTCCAGAGGAGGCATAAAAGGCTGCAAGCAGGGAGGTAAAATATTCAACAGGTAACTTGTGCATCTTACTCAGCTGTGGGAAGGTGAATATTGCACCTTCCACTTCTTCCAGAGGAGGCAAAAAGGGCAGCAAGCAGGGAGGTAAATCATTCAACAGGTAACTTGCATTACTTTCTAGAAGTGCCTTTAAGTTTTTAGTGTTTCCATTTGCAGATCACTGATCCTTAAGCAGCCAGCTCTGTGCACAGAAGAGTAGCACAGCTACTCCTGCTGTGACTTACACTTCCTCTGAGCTGTGGGGACAAGTGCTTGCACTTCAAGTGACACTCTCAGACTGAATCTACCAGCAAACATCCAGGTGCCACAGGGCAGGTGAGCAAAGAAGTGGTCATAAAAATAAGCAGAAGTTCTGCTCAGCACAATTTCCAACTGCCCTGGCAACGTGGAAAAGAGAATGTGTGGGTTGAGCTCGACATTATTCCAGGCACTTCTGTACAGAAAGACTACCAGGTAAATAATGACTTATCCCAGAAAAAAAAAGGAGTAACCAGTGGAGTAACCTATCCAGGTGGAGGCTGCTGTTACAGAAGGAGTCTTTGCAAAGTCCTTACCATTTCCTGGAAGAAACAACTGTCACTAATACTTTCAGCAAGTTCTACAATCCACGCCACAGTGAAAAGCTCAGTGATTTACTCCATCCTAATGAAACCACAGCTGCCTTACATTCTCTGTAAGGGAATACATGAAGTCTCCTCTAATTTATAAGCATGGTTTGGGGATGAGGAGAGAGAATCAGATGTAACAATTCAGAGACAACTTTAGGCAAACATTTTGGGTAAGATCTCCCAGCTGACTGTCTTTGAAGAAGGCTGTTTGTGGCAGAATCTCCTACAGTAAGACCTTAAGCTGCTGAAATCCTTTTAGCAGTTGGAATGACAATTAGGATGGTACAGTTCAACCCCAACATGAAAATAGTTTTCCTTGCATATAATTGAAGTTTTCTTTGTGGTTACTTGGAGCAATCTGTCCTGCAAAATGGTGCAGCAATTTCTGTCAAGTCATTCAGCCAGCACTGAAAGCATTAGGGAAACTTAGAATCGCATTTATTTTCGTACTATTGCTTAGATTTAGCTTTATATTAGCAAGAAGCACAGATTTAATATGACTAGAGCTCTACTTAATTTAGGCCCATGTGATAGATCCACACAATTAAGACCCCTAATAAGACAGTATTAAGAAGTTATTGTTTGCATTTAAAGTAGGCTGATACATTAAAATTCTACCTGAAATGACATTTTGATGGCAACTGTATCAGCCTTGCTAACAAAGTTATATTCAACTGCTGTGCTAAGTACACTACAGAAAGATTTAAAAGCTAGTGTTACTTTGTAAAAATACAAAGCAATCTAGATCAAGAGCTAAAATGTCACCTATCACAAAGTGACAATCCTTGGTACAGTACCAGTACAGTGAGGAAACCTATAGGAATTTGGGGGGCCTTGTAAACCCAAAGTGTCACTTAGAAAGTTAAATCTATACAGAAATTACCAATTACACTTAAAAGAAACATCAATTTGTACAAAAATTGCACAAAACATCATAGCAATTGATTTAACATTTACACTGATGCCTACAGGAGTTGTAAAACTTGTAACAAAAACCTGGAAAAGGTTGAATTTTAGTGTTTGACTATTCCTCTAACATCCATATAAAAGCATCTCCAACAGGATTTTTTAGCTTCTAAATCTCTCTAGGAGATACTTTGCAAGACACATGTTCTGATACTAAAAAACACCCCTTTCCTGAAAAGCAAAACAAAATACCTGACATCCCTCCTTCCAAAACAAAACAGAGGTAAAAGGGACTGTTTTTAACTTAATAAAAGTTAGATATCTAGCCAAGTTCTGTTTAAACATTAAGTGCACTATTTGAGTGTCACCTCAACTGGAAATATTTCATTCATTCAGTACTCTAAAAATATATCACCTTCTTAAATTCTTCTCAAGTATGTACTCAATATTTGAGTTTTTCCAACAACCTCAAGCAAGCTCTTCAGGTTAAACTTAATAACAAATCCTAGGTAGTATAAGCCCGTTCTGTTAATGTTCTAAACAAATTTTTTGTGTTTAGTGGCTTTATGCAAGAAGCCACTAAGCACAAAACACTATCTTCCTAGTTTTCCCTAGGTAGTATAAGCCCGTTCTGTTAATGTTCTAAACAAATTTTTGTGTTTAGTGGCTTTATGTAAGAAGCCACTAAACACAAAACACTATCTTCCTAGTTTTTTTCATTGCTAATAAATTTATGGTGCAGGATTGAAACAAAATAAAATCTTTATGAAGGTTTTTTCCCTGTCTTAGGAATAACAGCATTTGGTAAGATGGCTTTTTTGCTAACTGTGCTGGTGATTATCTGAGAAGGATCAGGATTGTCTGCAGAGCCTCGGCACTGCAGCTCTGTTCAGATGTGAATTTTCTGCTCACATCTGCAGATGTGCACATGCAGATGGATGTCTGTGCTCCAGGCACACAAACAGCATGAGGTTCCCAGTTAAGGGATAGGGAATGCTTGTGCTATCCCACATCCACTCCCCTGGTCACGGCACCCACTCACTGCCCCAGGTCTGGGGGTACTGAACACTTAACACAGGCTTTCTTTATCCAGAAGTTAGTCCCCAAAGTTAAACAGGTGTTAATATAAACAAACCAACCCCAAAGAGTTTAAAAAGTCTTCAGACTAAAAATTCTTTCCCCTTCCCAAATCTGTCATCGACACTCTCTTGGCTCCGGTTACACCGCGTTTCCAGAGCTGGGGACGGACCCGACCGAGCTTGAAATTCTACCATGAAAACACACAGAACTGGTCAAGAGGCACAGCCCAGCCCAGCCAGCACCACAGAGATGGGCTCCATGCCCTGAAAGCTCTGCTCTGCTTTGGTGAGTTCACAACCCTCATATATAGTTCATGACTATTTAAGTTTAAGCAACTCAGCTCTGCCTCCCCAGCTCACCAAATACAGATGGCAGGAACTCTGGCAATATCATGCCAGAGAGCTGATAGAAACTTTTAATACCATCACGGAGTTTCATTGTAAAAAATCAGCAAAAGCAAATAACCAAATGGATAAAGATGGGGCAGAAACAGGGGGTTTGTATAACTACCTTGATTTAAACACATCCAGAGCGTGAGCCGTGGACCAAACAGTACCAAGAAAGACTGGGGCAGAACTGGAGTGCCAGACTGGATCTTCTCCTCTCAAATCCAGGCACCTACATGTGCATTTTTAACCCCTAATATTATACAGTTTTTTTATTTATCCTATCACTAAAGAAGCAGCAGTTCACAATAGCAACACTGGGTATCCATATTTAAGGCAAGAGACAGGCACCCATATAACTCATATAAAGAAAATACATAAATAAACCTGACATATTTCTTCTGCCTGAAACCCTACCTGAAATCTGATCTGATGACTCAGTCCTACACACCTGAACAGCACAGCACAGGTTAAAGAATCAAACAAACACTGGCTGTTTAAAGGTCTTCCCTACTCTACAGGCTGCCAAGACCCCTGAAAGTAAATGCATACACTGTATACCTACACCTATACTTCATTTATTTAAAGAGAAATATAATCCCTCGTAGAATTCAATAACTTCGAGGTGGTGACTTAATAGAGGAATTCATTGAAATGCTGCTTTCTCATATGTATTTCATGCCAGTTTAGGTTTGGAAATGTACTGTTCTTACAAAGGCACTTTCTTACATTAATTCACACTGATTTAGAATACCTTTCTTTGACTCTGCAGCATTAATTGCTCCAATTGCATTAGAACAAAGGCTGAAGTTATTTTCCAGTGATGGCAACACACAAACAAAGGCTCAAGAGCTTAGTTTTTCCAGAGCTTTCATCCATATTATTGTAGATCAGGAAAAATAAGTGGAAAAAATAGCTTAAAAAGAACTTGAATCCAACACTGCTACAAACATAACCCATAATTGTTTCTTTTGAATTTTTAAACACCTCAAGTTACAATCTCAATTTCAGCAGTGTTTCTGTGTTCATACCTTGACATCTGTTTTTGAAGTGGTATGCATGAGACAGCACTCTCAAAGAGTAACTTCCTTAGTAAAAATGACTTGGCATCCTCTAGGTTAGATGCTCTAAGAGGAGAAAAGCCACATAGAAGTAATGTATGAAGAGAAGGGCCTATTTTACACAGCTCCCTTTACTGTTCCTATCTGAACAATCTGCCATTTTAAACAAACTCAGCTTAAGAAATTCAGTAATGCAGCAGAGCCAAATTGGTGGAAAGAAGTGGTGGAAATCCAAAGCTTCTGAGAACATTAACGAAACAAGCTGAACATTCCTGCAAAGATACTTAAGAGCACACTTAAGCAATAAATACTTTGAAAATGTAAGAAAATTGGGAATTAATAGAGAACCATGTATTCTTTAGGAAAATGTCTTATGAATTAAAGGAATTTCATGCTATTTTTGAGTGGAACCAGGATCTAGTAAAATCATCTTAATTTATCCTACTTTTAGGTGAGGAGGTGACAGGAGGCAAATACAGGCATGAGAACAGGTGGTACAAGTGTGCAGGTGGTTCCTTGAAGCCAGCCAAGAGCAATGCTCACACCTCAGGAGGGCAGAGTGTACACAGTGACCTCACCAAAACAGTGACCTCATCCAAACACAGCCCTCCAAGAACAAAACCACCTTGTAGCTTTAGGCCTGGCTGATAGCAGTGAGTGGGGGTTCCCAATAAACTTGCACTGCTAAGTAAAAGCATCTGTCCCTATTTACTGAAAGCACATATTCTGGACTGTCTGCACAAAACATTTTCAGCACTAGTCATCTGTCTGTATTTGCTTGTGCTGTCTCTCAGAAGTGTCTGAAATCAACAGAAATAAAGGGGGGCTTTAAGGACTCAAGCCATATAACCTCTTTTTAGCCACCCACCTAAGAATGAGATTAATCATATCCTTGAGGATTTCAATTCTCTATGTGATTATAAAGGGCTCCAATTGTAACCAGCTCAAATGCAGCCACCTACTTTATAAATGCGTAAAACTTATGAGATTATTTCCTCTTGTAACACTCCTGAATTCAAGAGAACATTTCCCATGTGACACTGTATATGTGACTGGACAAGTGTTTCTTCATTCTTATTAGGACAGCCCTGGCACTGCTGGGAAAAGATTTCTCACTTTTTAAAATCTTCTGTCCAGATAACAAGCACCTATTTATAATATAGGAGGATAGCAACAGAACCAGAGGCACAGCTCCCTGATTCCAGCATAACACATGACCATCAGCTATGGAACACCTTCCCACAGCTCTAGGAACAAGAACTGTTTTGACCCAAGCACAAGAAATCAGTATAAAAGAGGCTGTATCTTTAATATTTTTGAGTTTGTTTGTATGTTTTCAGAATGAGTTGAATGTACACACTCACCCTCCAATAGCTGAAATTGAAAAACTAATCTGATAAAGGACTCTGACCTTGGCTGTCACATCACAGATCATCCTGTTTTGAGCAAACCCCATACCCATCTCACTTTCTGCATTGCTGCTGCTTTAGGAATCATTCATTGCAATGAAAAATCCCCAGTTAGTATACTCTTCATCTGTGAAAAGTTAATGACATGGATGTGGCATGCTCTACACCATTCCCAGAGTGGACTGTCAGCCCAGTTAGTATACTCTTCATCTGTGAAAAGTTAATGACATGGATGTAAAAACTGTGGCATGCTCTGCACCATTCCCAGAGTGGACTGTCAACCTTTCCCAGCAGGGCATAACCAAAATGTCCATCACCACTTCCATGTGTGCTTTAGGTTACAAACTTGCTGATGGATTCCTGTGGACAGTGTTGTTACATTGGTGGTGTTTTGATATTTAACAGAGGCAGATCCTATCAGATCCTCCAATATGAAAGGACTGGAAAGGTCTAAACACCTCTGAGCCCCCAAAACACAGGAGTGATTTAAAGCAGCATTACAGTTGTCTTTAAAGGCATATTCAAGGTGCTGACATAGCAGAAACTCTGTCCATGTTTTGAAGAAGGATCATTTACCCAAAAAGTAAAGTCCCATATAGGCTTATATGTAAAAAAGGTACTCCTGTTTCTAGAGCAACAGGTTTAAATCCACGTTTATGGGCAAGGTGAGGAATAACACTCCTTTCAGTACACACATTCAGGAGACATTTTCCTGACCGTCTTTTGAAGCTGTTTTGTAGAATACCATAAACCTCCTCTCTGCTGCAGTGACTGTACTAATTCCAAGTCCTGAGTAAACAGACTACTTCAAACATGATGGAGGAACTCAGCAGCTTCAATCAACTTCCTTAAATCCTGCTGAGGCAGCAGCACAGAATGCCAGACAACTTACACTTCCAAGAATTCTGCAGTAACAGATACTGCAAACCTTCAGAACCTACCCTCTTCTTCCATACATATTTCTAGCACCTCTATCAAACTTTTCTGTCATTGAAATGTTCATCATAAAGGAGCAGCAAAAATAACACCACTGCTGGACTGTCAAAACAGTGATAAAACTGAGTATGGGGAGGCTGGAGATGAAAGAGAATGGGAAAGGGGAATTTCTAACAGCAAATGCTGATCTTGCACAAAATGCCCAAGTTTGCTGTTTTACAAGTAATTTATACAAGTCTTCTAAAGTGGCAATTTTCTTGCAGCTTGTCAGGTCATGTTTGAGCTAGTGAACAGAATTGAAAAATTCAGAGAGGAGACAAAGTAGGAAAATCCTATATTCTCCAAAATGTGAAAATGGTGACTGGGCCTCAATTGTACCTTATGAAAAACTGTCTGTGAGCTCTGGCAAACCTTCCCTGCTAGGATGTAATGGAGGTAGAGAAATAATTTACCCAGGGAAAAAAAAAAAAGGATTGACTGCAGAGAATTTCTTAGGTATTTAGATAGAAAACATCCATAAAACATTGCCCTGAGAAAAGGGCAATGCCACATTTCAGCAATGGTGACAAATGCTTGGGTCTACTGCACCATGCAAACACCCTCTCTTTGCATGGTGCAGGAGACCCTGGGAATGGAAGCTGCCTGGATGCTGAGGAGAAGCACCATTCCTGATGGATGGCTTTGAAATGGAAAACTTTGCCACAGCAGAGAACCTGCAGGGAACAGAGACAGGCAATGCACATTAAATAGTGGAAGTTGCCTGATGTGAACAGGTTCACTTGGACTAGCTACTTGGTCTAATTCCATATGGCTTTCTCCTCAAGAAAATACATGTACAGCTCCTGAAAGCAGCATCATCTGACAATCTGTGACCTTGTTTCCTTCCACAAAGGCTAAAAAGTAAAACTGCTTTTAAAATTTAGTTATCCAGAGAAATGTGAAGCACTACAAGGATCTTTCATCATCATAAATGCATGAAAATGTAACACCATTGAATTCTATCAAACAAATAATTCTGAGAAAAAGGACTGCAGTGAGAGGTTCCATTTGTCAGCCCCAGCTGCAAACAGGTGAGAGGCACTTGTGTCCTGTCCTCCCTGCACCTAAAAGGTCTATGTGCAACAGGAAGAAAGAGCACCTCTTCTCACAGAGGAAACCCAGGAAGCAGAACTTCTCAAAAAAAGCACCACCCTAAATATATGAAGATAAATAATTTATCAAAATTTAGTAGATTCTGACATTTTGAGCTATTTCAAAGTTAGATTTCTATCTTCTGTTGAAGTCAAAAGCATTTAGAAATTATGCTCTTAGAACTGTCAGCGATTTACACTGTCAAGTCAATATGGAATTTTAAATAGAAATCCCACTATAAAACTTGAATTGATTTAGGGGGGAAAAAGATAATAGAAAATCATGTCCCATACTTCCTTCCAACTCCATTGAGGAAGAGGAGTATCAGAAGCTGTTATCACTAGCAGGGATAAAGAAAAAAAAAAACCCAACCAACCAACCAAAAAACCCCAAACAACAACAAACCAAAACAAAAATATTTTTCATAATTTCTCAGTTGATGGTGTGTAAATGAAGTCACCCTCCTTCCCCTACATTTCTCAGATTTGTTCGACAGCAGAAGCAGTAATTTGGAGCAGCACTGCTGCAGGCTCAGTGACCAGCCACTTGTGCTAAAACCTTTATTAAAAGCCCAGGCAGTGCATGGGTGTGCCTGCAGCTCCTACCTATTGAAATTCCACTGGACAGGGTGGAGCTCTCAGCCTGCCCTCGGGAGGGGACGTGGGGCTCCATGACGCTGTCATCCAGCAGGTGCCGCGGTCCCGCGTTGGGGAATGTCGCGCTTTTAAATTCCGCCGTGTTCATTTTGTGTATGAAACTGGAAACCAAGGAGGACACAACGTTACAGCCTCGCCTTTGGGACGTCCCAAGAGTTGCTCTAACATCCTGAAGGATTGTGTGCAGCGTGCTCCTAAAGCCAAACTAAATCATGGCCAAGCCATAAGCAATTGTGCACAAATTGGTAATTTATTAATTAAATTAATTTATTAAATAAATTAATAAATTAATTTACCTGAATTACTGGTAGGAATTGCCAGTTTTAAAACTGCACAGAACTCGTGTAACAGAGATGAAGTCAGGAGTACATTAACAATTACTTTCAATATCTTCTGCTACTTTTATCTTCTATAACACATAATTGAACTGGACCATTGCGTTCTAGCTCATTAAAGGTAAACTTAAAAAATAGAAGTTATTAATTACTGAGTAGCTACAATCTTGCATTTTGAAGACATGACAAGGGAAATGATGAGATAATGATCAAGGTATTATTAGAAGTACACTTAGATGGAAAAAGCCTGAAGCCATTACTAAACAGAGTTAGTCTACAAAGAAAGTCCATAAAGGAATCTCCCTGTAAAAATACCAATCAAGCAGTGATAAAATTTTGAATTTGAAATAATTACAGTGGCATTGAGTTACTAAAAAGTAATAGTTTTGTCATTCAGAAAGAGTTATTCTGGTTAACTCACTGACTAATCTTATCACCAAAACTTCAGCCTTGCTATTTTAATTAATTCTCTTTGGTTGGGATATCAGCATTATAGTTCTGAGCTTGCTCCCTGGCCAGAAATTGCTCTGTGAGTGAAGTACTGTGTACAAGTCCTGCTGCTTTTTACAAGCAAAGCTTTTGTATTGAAAACAAAATACATCACTTAAAAAAAAAAAAAGCTCAGGATTTTTATGTTAAGCAAAATGCTGACTTGTATCCCAGACTGTGACATTTCCTATGCCCATGGGGTATCAGGTTCCGAGGTGAAGGGGGTGTTGGTGGTAGCAAGGCTCCTTCAGCTGCAACAGTTTTCCTTCCACTTTGTGGAGATGCTCCAACTTCAGAGCCTGGGAAGAAAAAAGACATTACTCCCAAGTAATTTCAGAATTACTGTCAGGGTCACTTATTAGAAAATCACAGAAAAATTGCACAAAACTTTCTGAACTCCCTGTATAAGAGATAGCTTCAGTAAAACTCACTGATCTATTGATAATTAAACCCCCTGCACTTCAGGGCTTTTGCACAGGATCAAAACCAAACACACTTCAAACAAACCATCCAGTAGAAGTACTTTGCAAGTCCTAAAGGTGGCTGCATTTACTATACCAGCACTGGGCATGTCCCACTGATTCTACATTTTTAAACCCCTGCCTTCAACCACTTTTGGCACTGACCAAGAAGAATGTTCATTTTTGGAAGCACATGATGCCATGAAAAGTTTAGATGAAGGCCCTTCTGTCTAGACACAACAAAGAATGAATATTTAATAAGTCTTCACCCCAAATGACATGAACAACTTAGTGCCACAATACATACAAGAACCTAAAAAAATTACTCAATTCCCTCTTTACAGATCACCTTTAGACATTTTATTACAAACATGCAGTGTTTAAACTTCACACTTCTTTACAGCCTCAGGCAAATATTTTCCACGTCTGCAATTCTAAAATAATGCACATGACAACCTCAAGTCTTCTCACATTTATTAAGCATTTACCTACTAAATCTTCTCTGGAAGCAGCAGAGTGGGGCGTGCTGGTCCCTGGTTCTATCTTTAATGAAAGTCTGCATTAAAGAAACATTAAAAATTACTTATCAGGAAATAAAAATATAAGCTTATGAAGAAGAATTTTTAAAATTTATGATTGTAAGCTGCCTGATTCTGTGATTGCATGGAATACTATGAAGGTAATACAAACAGTGCAGAGTTATCTTTAGCACACACTATTTCCAAACTTGATTTTTCCTGCCTATTGCTTTGGTTCACACAGACCACCAGGACCTCCAGTGCCCTGGGATGGCTGGCACACAGACAAAACTGCTACTCCAGCTAAAATCTGGGAAAGATAAAATTGAAAATAATACATAACTTCTCCCCCCACCTTGGCTAAAATATTTATTCTTGGAACACTTCATATTTTAAATTTTTTTATGACGTGCACTAGTGTGCCGAGCACCAAGTCTTTTGTCTTTACTGGTTCAAAAGCCAAAATCCTCTTCTGTGTTTTGGAAAATACATTATCAACTTGATTTCAGCCATAATTCAAGGCTTTTCTGTAAGTTTTTAATGCCATTTCCATCAGGCCCACAAAGAAGGCAGATTACAGGGGCAGATAACTCCAGGAAGATTAAGTGTATCTTGTCCACACAGTTTGCAGAACTAAAATTTTTGAAACTACTAACACTGAAAAATCATCTATTTAATTTTGGGGAGCAAAAGTTTAAAGTTTGACATATCCTTTCCCTCCCATTCCAGACAGTATTGCAAGGATTCATTAAAATTTTATAATTTAATTTTTTCAAATAAAATCTTTTAGTACGAAAAACCATGTATTCAAGTCACAGTTGCTGTTCTCTAACTTCAACCTTTTTGCTGATAGACACCTTAGGGGATGAAAAGTAGAAGAGCCACTTTAAGTAAAAACAATTCTTCAAATACACTCCTCGACCATAAAAACATTTAGTCTGGAGATGTACAAAACCCATCAGTGCAAAACCAGATGTTGTGAACAGCAGCCATGCTTCTGATTGATGTGCCATTGTCTCCAGTCATTGCCCTGCTACCAAAACATGGATTGTACAGGATGAAGAGACTGCAGCTCCTTCATCAATCAAATTCCCCCTGCTAGTCAGTCCTACCCAGTGAAGGTGAAGGAAGGTGGAGAGTGGAATTCATGAATACAGTGTCCTAAGGAGACATTGTAGGTAAGAAGCTTGGGTTTGGGTTAACTTTTTTTTTTTTTTTTCCTTCCCTCTGTTTGACCACAGAGCTTTACTCTCAGTGATAGACAAGTGACACTTCCCAAATCAGGCTGTAGAACATCCCAGGAAAAAGGTGAAGCTGGATGCTTCCACAGGGACACGCAGAGAACAACTTACAAAGCTCAGAAGAGAAGCCACGGGTGTGAGTCCTCGTTAACTTTCTCTGACATAAACTGAAGGGTCCCCATTTGCTGCCTTGCAGTAAATCCTAGTCAGGGCTATTAAATGGCAAAGCACAGCTGTTCCTAAAGTGAGCATCCCCCTCCTGCCATTCCAAGGGAGCTGCACAAGCAACCAATTCAAACCTTCTGAGGTGACAAACTTCCCGGGCGGGCAGGATGGGAATGGGTGGGGAACCTCCTCAAGCACATCAGCCAATGAACAAAACCCTCCTTCATAGGCAACAGATTTGCCTTAGGGTGTTTCCTATCCTCAGTTCCTGTCTCTTGCCAGAGATTTCCCTCCCCCAGTTTTGCTGGTTGCCAAATCACTCATTACAGTAATAATCTTTTAATTAAGGACGTAGAAAGCTTGGGTGGGAGGCTGGGAGGAACAGGCAGAGAGGAACAGGAACTTGCCTCTCAAAAACCAAGTGCTTACGTTTTACTCACACTTTATAACCTAATCAAAGAGGAAAGTATAAAATGAAGCATTATCTGCAACTGAAAGCTGTAAGTCACCCTCAGTAAAAACCTGGGAATGGATGCACAGATGGTTTTGTTCTGATGAAGAATGACTTAAGCCATTTCCAACCACAGGATTCCTCTTAATGACAGAACAGTGTTGCAGGTGAGCCACGTGTATAAAGTCTTTCTCAGCAGACCAAACCCACCTGAAGAAAGGGCTTGGCGCAGTCTGGCACAGAAAAGGGAGCAGCTCTGCCATTCAGCTTGTGGGGAAGTGCCTTGAGCACAACATCCTGTTGGAATCACAGCTGCTCACAGCTGCTGTGTCTGAGGTACATCATCATACAATCACAGAATGGTGTGGGTCAGAAGGAGCCCTAAATCTCATCTAATTCCAACCCCCTGCCATGGGCAGGGACACCCATATAATATAACACAATTCCCAATGCAAGTTCAATCTCACAAGTGACAGGCTTTGAGTTATAGAAGTAATTTTGTAATAAGTTATGGTCAGTTTACAGCATTTTGTACTTACTTGTAATTGTCATCTTCTACAAACTTCTGCAGTTCTTCTATGTACTGAACTGAGTTGAGATATTTTTGGACATGAGGCAACATAGGAATATCTGGAAAACAGACAGCATTCATTGACACTGTGCCACTCATTGGTAAGCAAAGGTTTTTTCCCAGAAACTACTTCAACAGATTCAGATCTCTTGCCTTTTTATGTGAGATGGAGGTACAAACTACAGGCCCTAATGATACTGAAATTTTAGAACTTCACAGAAATTCTCACGCATTGAGCTGACACTCGCCACACACACAAACCCCAGACCTGCTCATCAGAGCACATGTAAGGGAACAGTAAGACAAGATCCTTGACCAAACCAAAGGCCCAGAACTGGAGTCTGAGGACAGCCACATTCATTCTCTTTACACTGAGCTTTCAGGGAAGCCACAATCCTGTGCTAATTCATATTCCACCATCAAAACCACAGCATTAGGACTTTACTAGAATGGGAAGAGGACTGTGAGGGAAACCATCTTTGAAGAAAAAAATACATTATCTGATCTATGGACAGAACTATAAATGTCCAAAAGACAAGCTGAGTGTATTTTATTATCTCCAGTAAAAGTACTATTGCAAAAGAAATCCTATTTTTAGAATCCAGTAATAAAATTATGAACACAGGGACACAAGCTTATAAATACCAGTAAAATTACTCTTGAGTATGATGTACTACTACACATTTATCATCAGAAAATATATACTGCAGTTTGCTCAATGTAGGAGAAAGGCAATTTTGTTCTGTCTCCTCACCTTGATGGGTGATTGTCTTAAACAACAATACTAGACTAAAGTAGACTTTTGGGCAGAGAGGATGAGTGAGGGTGTTAATGGCATTCACATGGGTCCAGCCTTACATAAATTACATCACAGCAGACAAAAATTAAAGCTTTTTAAGCTCTCCTCTTTAACACTGTGATATTTACACACTAGCTTACCATATTCACACGACTGCTGCAAATCTGAGATAATTCGAAGAATATTGTTCATTAAATTTGTTCTTTGCTCGCTTTCCAGAATGCTTGCTGTTGAGGGGTAGGCAGAGTCAATATAGGTCAAGTCTGACAGATAAATACCTGAAATGAGATTAGAATGAGAAGTTTCTTTGTTTAATGTCTTTCATTGCGCAGAAAAAAACCCTGTCATCAAGAATATTCTGAAGAATGTTGCTTGCATAACATTAAAGTAGGCTGACAAAAGCATTGTCTCAGAATAGGATTTTGGATTTACCTGGGAAATAATTTTAGAAATCTAAAAGTAATTATAAGGACATGCACAGCCACTCATAAATCTCATCTTCTCTACAGCACCAATTTACTACTCTCTTGACAAATATTAAGCATACTAAACACACAATACTAAAATACACTATCAAAATTAATTGTTTAGGAAGTCTACTACTTCATTCCTCCAAAGCAGCAATTAAAAAACAATAGAAGGATAAATTATACCCAAAACACTTCAAGTTGAATTAAAAACTCAAGCTCAGCAACATGGGAAAGATTAACTTAGAGAAAATGGGCAACCAGACTGAAATGAATGAATCCTGCAGTTTGTAATAATCACAGCTCCAAAGATCCAACAGCTTTCTAGGTAAGTCACTTCACATCCCCTACCTGCCTTCTTCCCCTGCACTGCTCCTTCAATCCTTTGATCATGTAGAGGGGAAAATCCTCCTTACACACTAATGCTTGTAGATAAAACGTTTATTTTATTTCTAACCACAACTCCCTTCCTTGAACTTCGCCTATTTGTCTCAACTAAGCAAAGCATACCCTGACCAGCTCTGCTGCTCAAAGGAATTGGCCTGCATCCCTTGCATCTTTCACAGATATCCCAATTTAAAAAATGACACAAACTTAAATAATATTATTTAAGAAATTTCCATAATAGGGAAATTTTTAAATTATATTTTACTTCACCTCTCAGCCTTGTACAACCAAAGTCATAACAAGGTCTTTGGATTTACAGGTGGAAGACTATTAATACAACCTCACAAGAACAGCAGTTGTGTTTGTATAGCACCTAACCAGTACAGTCCTCAAATGTGAGCTGGGAAACTCTGGGCATCCCTCCAAAACCAACACACACACACACACGTGTGTGCGCACACACAGAAACAAATTAAAATACTTGTGGTTGAAAGGTGACATATAAAAAAGTGAATAAAAAGGTATTATACATGACCTGATATACTACTAAATCTCTCAATTTTCTGTTCTGCTAGGAACAGTTTGCTAAAAAACAGAAAGGATAATCAGAAACATCAGGTAGTGGCATTTAATTGCTACACTACCTAAAGTGCATAAGCTGTCCTGAATCTGAATTTACTAACCCATATCCTAACAAGCCTTAAAAATCCCAAACCCACTCAATCTTCCACAGAAGGAAGTAAATCATACTTATTAACTATATTTAAGGAAATTCCCTGTAACAGGCACCTGCACTATTATGCAGGATTTTATAAACCACCATATTTGTAGAATTACCTCTGAATGACTTGTACTGATCTCTTATTTTAGCTAAATCAAAAAGAAGTCTTCTGTAAAGAGCAGTTCTCTAAACCTACTGGATGCATTTCTATGAAATCTAAAATAATTTTGAAAGCATACAAGGGAAATTCTCTTTCAAATGTAATTGGCACAGCCCTTGTGAAGAAACCAGAAAGATCAATGGCAGTAAATTGAATGCCCTCACGTGCTGGCTGAGCATGGACAGGACCAATCCCAGATCCTGTGTTTCTTGTACAGTGTAATCTCTGTGGCTTTTGCTACTTCTAACACCAGTCAGATGTTATCAAATATTCTGATACCTACCCAAAACCATCACACACAGAGTTTTAACGTTTTCCACATGTATTGGAGAATTCATGCCTTTAACAACTGGAACTGTTTCTTATTAAGTGAACGTCAAGAATTGAATGCGACATTCTGTTGAACATTCTTCTAGACTACAAATGCTTCATTTTTCCTGTTGTATCCAGCCAGGCTGCCCCTTTTATTCCCAGCAACACAAATCGAGTTTTATCAGCCTGAAAGAATCTTTCTTCTAAATGAAGCCCAGTACTGTAATAACTTGAAAGGCATCTTTAGGCAGCATAGTAAAAATGTTTGATTTGTAATTGCCTGCTGAACTCTTGCACAGTCCGTTGCCATATGGTACCTCCCTTCTACTGGCAAACAATCTTTCCTTGTTCCTAACTTCTCAGCCTAGCCTCCCTACCCCCTCCTTTTCTGGAGGGTATGGATAGGAAATCCGAAGGAGGAGTTTCTTCTGCTCTCCGAGTGCTCGCGGTGACATCATAGGTGGGCTGAACGGCTGAGCCGAGTGTGTGTTTGTTTAAAAAAACACTGTCCAAAAGTGATGTATATGGAATCTGGGTCAGCTGTGGCTGGTTAGAGCACTTCTGCATGTGAGAATTAAACACTGCAGTTTCAAAAAACATCTCTCTCTCTCTCCTGGAATAACGCATACTGGAGCATTACTTTTTTTCCTTTTTTTTTTAAACTGATTAGTTAGCTTGGTTATCGTATGGAGAAACCCAATTCCTCAATACAGCTTGGATCTAACAGAGAAAGACAAAAGCAGTTTTCAGCTCCAGCTGCAGATTAACACTCCACACCATCGGGTAATATAGGAAGCAAAAGCAATTTGGCCTCTGGATTTTCCATCTGCCACAGAAGCAAACCAGCTGGAAGACTTTATTTCTTGGTAAGTTTTAAAGTTATTCTTACTTACAAATTTAATTTTGAGCTATTTCTGAATGCTACACGCATCTCCCTCAACATACAATTGTGAAGAAACAAAACCCTCTCAGCCTGAGAAACATTTGACAACTAACATTAAGACTCATTTTCGTGGCATTCGGTAGACTTTGGAGAGAATTAAAAAAGGCACTGCATAAGAGCACAGACTAACTTGTTTCAGTTGTAGGGATGAACAAGTTTCGGTTGTTTAGCTGTATTGTTATCTACAGTTACAGAAAATTAGCCCTACCAGATTCTTTGCTAAGCATGTAATTTGGGTACTGTGAACATACTCATGTGAAATTCTGATCCTACCAGAAGGCAAAAGCCAAAAATCCTATCGATTTCAGGGCAGCTGGATTTCACCCAACACCAGAGCATAGACCTAGCATTACTAGAACTAGAAAATGGATACCTCAATAAAACCACTGTGAAAAGTCCCAAGCAAATCAATGCACATCTGTAAGTAGCAATCATTGTATATAATTTCAAGTATGTTTTTATTTATGGCACTTGTGAGGAGTTGAAGTCGCCTGAGTCCTAGAGCCAACCAAGAAACCAGTCATACACTGATTCAGAACATAATTGAGTTTGTAGCACAATCAATTGTGCAGCAGAAAATCCAAAGATGTTGCTGCAACAGGCACCAGTACTTTCCTTAGCTGTACCTCAATTGAACTGCAGTTTGTTTCTAAATAAAGATACATTTCATAAACATGAAATGCAGTGTACAAAGCAACACTACATTAAGTGGAAAATTGAGGGGTTTGTTACAGCTCACTAGTGGAAGAAAGGGAGAAGAATGCTGCTGCTAATCGATAATTAAAACAAGAAAGTTGTTTACAAACAGAAGACAAAAGTACAGATGAAAACAAAAAAATACTTGCTTATACATAGAAAACTTTCTTCATGCTGACTTGGAAATTAAAATACAGTAAATAATCCAGAACAATGCAAATGAACTTCAGTGATGCATTTGCATTTACAAACTCAGAGCTGCCTGACACGGTAAGAGAGAATGAAGGGGCTGATGCTAAAAGGAGAGACAAAGTGTTACAGAAGACAAACTTAATTAAGATTTAGTAGCTACCAGAGGAAAAAAGTCTGAAGAAGCCTTGATAAACAAGATGGATCCTTTCCAAGTTCTTGAGTCCTTTTCCTTACTATCCTTTTGTGCTGATTTACATAAGGAGGAGAATAATCTAAACAACAACACAACCCCCCTTTGAAGCACATAATGTGCTTTGGACACCAGGCTCCATTCATTCATCATCAGCCAAGGGCTTGATTTACGCTGCTTAGAACAATTCCTAAACCTTCCACAAAAGAAAACAGCTGAGTCAATAATTTTAAAGCAATAAACTGGCTGTATACAAGGTTTTAACTCTCTCTCCTTTGCTGCCTTCCAACTTAAGAGTTCAAATCTCAAAATGTTTGTTTTAAAACAAATAATGCAATACTAATATTAGGCTGCTGCCAAAAGAATGATCTGAAGTACAGTGAAAAAAATAAACTATTTGAAGTTTTAACGGAACTTACTAAAAAGAATGGAAATTCTGAACCTTTAAACTTTAGCAGTAACTACATAGCTCTGTTGGGTTTTAATAGTTTTATTGGGCTTTGTTTTTTGTAATGTGCCCTATTGGCTTGGTCCTTAAAATTTATATACCAATGAATGAAGTACAATTTCCTACAGCAAGCACAACTGGATGCTTAATATCTTCAGTATCTGCTCTAAGCAGAACTCTGCATCCCCAAAATCACAAATTTCCAAACACAAGACGCACCACTGCATTGTACCTGGCTGTTCAAACAGTGCAAACACACACAGTGGCTGCCAACAAATGCAAAAGAGCCCCCATGCTAAAAAAACTTCACCAAAAAATCTGGAAATGCCAAGAAATTTTGCTGTGCTTTCAGAATATCTACTATGACAAAATTAACAAGTCTCTTCTTGTTCTTAGAAATTCTTAGAGAATTTCTAAGAAGTTATCATTTTTAGAAGTGGCACGTTTTCAATGGCAACCTCAAAACCCCCTGAAGATTTTTAGATTGCCTTTCTTGAAAGGAATCAGATTGATGGCAATCTCTGAAGCAGAATTCTGAGACTCAATACATCACATATCTGATGAACAAAACTCAAGAACATATTATTCCTGGATCCCAGTCAATACAATTGAAAGCAATCCTGTTATTTCAGCAGAGGGACTTGCCGGAAAAGCACTTGTTTATATAGGGAGAAGGAACTTACTTAACTACAGAGATATACTGAAATCCATGGGAATATTTCCCCTACAGGAAGAGGCTTTTCTCCACCTTAGTGTTACTTC